AATTAGAAAGTTTTGGCGGGCCTTGACGTAATCGACTGCGTCATAAAAAGGGGCAGAGCTACCTCGACCGGCGTCTAAACAGTCAAGATGAGATGAGGGAGTGTGAGAAATGTCCCCATCAGGTGGGAGAAGACAGGCTGGATCCCTGCCTGGGCAGTAACAACAGGTACCCTGACACCCTAATAAATTCATAGGTAACCTTAGGCTAGGTACCACCCCACAGGCAGGATCTCTCATACTCACATGATCACCCCTCAGAAAAACAACACAGCCCCACCATAAACCATGCACACAGCAAGACCGCAAGCAGTGACACAATGCTACACAATGCCAGACATGCACACACAGGTACCAATACACACTGCCAGACATCCACTGTGATTGTGTGACTATATCTATAAATGCATGTGTGTGTGCCTGTGTGTCATTGCGTGTCTCTGTACATCAGTGTGTTTGTGTTTGTATGTGCATGTATCAGAGTATGTATGTGTATTTGTGTAGTGAGAGTATATGTGCATATATCAGTGTGTGTATATATATATATATATATATGCATATATATATATATATATATATATATGTATGTGTGTATATATATATATATTTATATATATATATGAGTGTGCATATCAGTTTGTGTATGTGTGCACATGTCTTTGTGTGTATATCCAAAGTGGCAACATGGCTGCAATGTGAGAATGAAATGTTATGGGTAATGTGGCACCCTCAGGGCCCTATAGTGCCAGGAAAACGAGTGTGTTTTCCTGGCACTATAGTGGTCCTTTAAGCTTAACACTTATTGTATATTTACAAATATATATTGATCCAAGTGTAAATTACATTAAATTAAAGGTATAATAATATTTTATTGATAGTATTTTTCTGCTGTTTGCTTTTTGTCTTGGTTCTATTTTAAAAATCAAATCCAGAGAAAACATGAGCAAACTAAATTCTCAACATTTTTCCTGGACCAGAAAAGTTATAAAAACAATGAAGTAAATGAACCCAAGACTTCTGTACAGCTTCAGGAGTTATTGCAAAAAATATATAATGTGTAGTTTATTAAAGGGAAGAAATGATCGTATAAACCAGCAGCAAAAGAAACAATCAATTTTCATGTTTTATCAGGCAACACTAAGAATGCAAATACAATTTGGTTCTTGATTTTAAAATCTTTACATAGCTAATATCTGCCTGGCCATTGTGCTCTTTATAATAGAGTCATGATATGAAATGCCATTATTTAATTTACAACAAAGGGATCGGAATTGTATTTGAGGTTCATGGCCTATCATTGTTCTTTCTACAATAATAGTACACCATTAAATACTCATTTTTTCTGCTCACAGTTTTTATTCCCAAAAGTGCCTTACTTTATATGTAGTCTATTGAGATCTCGATGCTCAGACAAATACTCTGCCCAAATTTGCGGAACACATTGCAAGTGCAGCGTTCAATTATTCACCTTGTGTCCATTTTGTTGCATAGAACCCTACGCAGTTCCTTTTTGTAAAAAAAAATCTTCTAGGCCTCATGCAGAAATCAGAATAGGAAAAATGATTTTTATTTAGTTTTCGCTCATTACATTTAGAGAAATGTAGTGAAGTGAATGTGTATAACAAAACCTTGAACTGTTTAATTTTGAAATGTAACATTTTTTAAAATGAAAATATGTAATTCAATAACTTAATCATGGGTTTTTCTGCAAATTTCCAAGTTCTCAACCCATGTTTAATGCAAAGCTGCTTGGAAAAGGTCAGATAAAGATATTTTTTCATAGATAGTTGACAGCAGCCTGTATAATGCAGTATTCATGAAACAGGAGGAAGCCATCTTGTACTTATCTTTTTTAAATGTTTTAGTTTTTAGTAAAAACATTTTTTTTGCATTTATTTATTTATGTTTTTCATATGTTATGAAAATAAAGAGAAAAACTGGTGAATAAAATAAAACAATACATCCCACAATCTGCTTACTTGGGTACAATCACTTAGAGAGGCAAGAATCTCAGGAAATGTGAAGTCTTGAAAGCAGGGCCGGATTAACATAGGGGCTGATAGAGCTGCAGGCCCAGGCCCATGGAATAGGCCCATTTGATTTCACACTAATCTTAGGTTTGCTACCTAACTGGTATTTTAAGGCACAGTTGGTATTTGAGGCTGCTTGACCATGACGGTATTTCAGTAATACCGGCAATATAAATGCAAATATTCTTCTCAGTATAAAAGGAGATTACTCTGCAATACCAGCACCGGCCAGTAGGGGTCACTGTGTATGGAGAGAGGCAGGGATAGGAAGTTACAGCATCTCCCTGCCTCTCTCTACTCACTGATCCCTGGGGGAGCAGCTACACCGCACAGAGAGTCCAGACAGCAGCTCCCAACCTGCAGAGACACACTACAGTACAGGTATGGGAAGGGGGGAAAGGCAGCAGGGAGACATGGGGACACTGAGACAGTGTCCACATGTCTCCCAGCCAGTGTCTGTGTCCCCATGTCTCCCAGTGTCCCTATGTCTCCCAGCCAGTGTCCCTAGTGTCTCAGTGTCCCCATGTCTCCCTGTGTCTGTGTCCCCATGACTCTGTGTCCCTAGTGTCACCATGTCTCCCAGTGTCCCCAAATGTCTGTGTCTCCATCTCCCAGTGTCCCCAAGTGTCTGTGTCCTCATGCCTCCCAGCCAGTGTCCCTAGTGTCTCAGTGTCCCCATGTCTCCCAGTGTCCCCTAGTCTCCCAGTGTCTGTGTTCCCATGTCTCTCAGTGTCCCCAGTGTCTTAGTTTCCTCAAATGTCTGTGTCCCCATGTCTCCCAGTGTCTGTGTCCCATGTTTCTGTGTCCCTAGTGACTGTGTCCCCATGTCTCAAAGTGTCTCCATGTCTCCCAGTGTCCCCATGTCTGTATCCACAAGTGCCCCATGTCTCCCAGTGTCCAGAAGTGTCTCAGTGCCACCATGTCTCACTGTGTCCCCATGTCTCACTGTGTCCCCTTGTCTCACTGTGTCCCCTAGTATCCTAGTGACAGTGACACTTTGAGACATAGGAAC